CCATGGTATGTGTACTATAAAAAGCTTCGTAGTATGTAAAGTATGTAATAGATAGTCTCAAAAGTTCAAAATTTAAAAAATCTTTAAAAAAAATTTTTTTCGAAAAAATTTAAAAATTTAAAAAAAAAAATTTTTTTAATTTTTAAAAAATTAATTTTTCGTATTTTATAACCCCAACACATCTTTCGCACAAAATAAACCCATTTACCTCAGTTTTTCCCGCTACTCTTAACAGTGAAGACATGAAGGAAAAGTAGTAGCGCTACTGCTGGGATAAAATTCTTTCACAGAGCGGTCACCAATTTGTTTGACTACAGATTAAAAAACAAAAGAAAAACGGCTGGAGGTAAGCGAAATTCCTCGCAAATTAATTAAAAAACCCTGTTTTGAATACTTGAAAAGTGTGTTAACAATATACATTACCTATCAGCAGGTTTTATTGTTAACGAGATTGTTTTTGATTTAACGGTAGTTTACGTTAGATGAGTGTATGAGACGTATATGCACTGTTGATGAAAATGGGCTTTCGCAAGTTGCTATACCCAAACAAGTCGCGTTGTTTTACGTTACATTTTACATTAGAAGTTATATTAAGTTTTACACATATAATTCTGTGCTCCAGAAATATGATTTGAAAAGAGCACAGAATTATGTGAACAAGCTAATAAATTGAAAACCCCAAAAAATTTTAAAACCAAGCATAATGAACCTAAAATTCAAAGTTATTGTAAAAAAGTTAAAAAGTAACGCAAAACCTACAAATGCTGAATTAAGATAGCCGGCCATCTCGCAAAAACTAAAATGCTGTGAGTCATTACAAACATGATCAAGTTTTTTTGCGATGAGTAAAAGAGGAACGAAATGGCCAATGGTCATAGCTTTTTTTGCACAAAACTCGCTAAACAAACCGTTTGACAGGTCAACGAGGCTTCTGTAAATATATGCAGAGCATTGCTATTAAAGCTCATTTAGACGAATTAGAGGCATTGTTGTTCGTATAAAAATGAAACAGCCAAGCCGGTTTAGTATAGCACTCAATGTACTGGACCAAAATGTCATTATAATTGGAGTGTCATGCTATTCAGGTAATTTTTGATAAGAGTTGTATTACAAAGAACGATCAGAAAGCTGATAAAGAAGGTGGCACACTACCAAGGGGCATACTAAAGAGGCTTCACTGTATATAAACAAAAAAAATTAATTTTAAGCGTTTATAATAGTTAACAATAAAGATCCAGTTCCAATTTCAAATGCCACACCTCAAAATAATCCAACCTAAATTTCTCCCCCAAGGCAACAGTCGGTTGCTTGGCTTATACTGGCATCCTATTGTTTGAATTCTTGAGGAGCACCTCATCACAACTCAGTAGCTTAAAAAACACAATCACCTGGATAGTAACCAATTGGGAACTGCAAAAATAAATAACTTTGACGGTCATCCCCAAACCCTTCTCATGCTTCCCTCCCCCCTCCCTCCCCCGAAGCATAAAATCAATAATTATATATTAAATTATCTCGCGTTAAAAATGAAATATTTTTATAATAAATTTTTAAAGCAACAATCAAGCAATTCCTATTAATAAACCTTTCCCCCTAAAATTCCCCTCAATCAAACATTTTGATAAGTTTTGATCAAATAATATTGAACTGCCATTTGAGATTACAAAAGCCGTGAATGATCGTTGAAAGACTGAAACGACGGAACGTTTAAAGACCAAAAGAACGGAAAATATTGCAAAAGACATTGATATAACTCATATTTTATATATTATAATTGTTTATTGTTACTCACATGACCTCTTCTTGTTATTTGTTCAAGCTTGTTGTTGTAGCTTTGTTTGATCTTGGAATAAATTTCTTGAGTTTTATGACGGAAATTACAATGAATATTATTGTAGAGTTTTACTGTAGTTGTGTGCGTTGTAATTGAACCATGGTCTTTTGAAATATATAGTTTATAAATTCTTACATTGCGTTATATATGCTGTCAAAAACATTGTTATTTCCGCTTATATAGACCAGCCTACTGCTTTATAATGGCCCCTAAACTTCAAAATCTTTTTTCTATTTACAGTGTAAGTAATTTGGCTTAAATGTAGCTAAACGGTTATTTTTCAAAGAGATTCAGAAGGCAGTTGGCTAATTGAGTAAACAAATAAGTCCAAGGAGTTAACCACTTTTAGTCAACATTACTTCCTTATAAATGACGATTTAATTTGTTACAGTCAACAGACAAACGGTAAATTAAGACCAAATTGAAAGTACAACTTGGTATACTAATAGTACTTCTAAATTTGTTAAATTGCAGACAAAGTGCGTTTCATTTGTGAGGAAAGTGCAGTTCCCACAAAAATAGTTTTTAAAGTCCTATATACACATATACTACGCATATACATATATGACATATACATATATACTTGTATATACGTATATGTTTTTTAAAAATACGTGGTAAAAAAGTACAAAAACAGTCATTTTGAAAAGAGCTGATTAGCTTAACAAGTAAACTTTTTGTTTATAACAAGCGGAGACATTGTTTGGAAGAATGGTAACTCGTTTATCTCCGTATAACAACGTTTATGGTGTACTAGACTTCCGTATTCTGCTATTTTTTCATACATATAGTACAATTTTTTCTTAACTGTGACTATACAAATGGTTAAAAAGCTGTAAGACATTTTCGTTTTTATTTTTTTTTATATTTGTAAAACCTACTATAAGATAAAATGCAACATAAAGGTATAAAAGCCTGTAACAAACCCAAAGAAATAAAACTAAAAATCCATGATGCCATTATAGCAAAAATACGTCTCAGTTTCGAAACAAAAAGTAGTTCAGACCATCTTTGGGCCGCGCAGTCATTTCGTCTTGGTCTAAGTCCTCGGGGCTTAAATATATTGGTTAAAAAGTCGGGGACACAACAAAGGCCATTTACTTTTGATTCGATTCGTTACAAGTTTACCCTAGAGACGAGAACATGAAAAAGATGTTATCTACCCGAATATATCTAACTATAGCTTGAAGTATGTGTTCTGTTACTGCTTGATGTTTCTATTTTTGGACGTATGTTAAATATGGTTTCTTTTAAAATTATATTATATCATAGTAGAGTCAAACCTCTTTAGTAAGACATTCAATGGGCTGGTTCAAACCTGTCCTTATAAACAGGGTGTCCCGCTACCCAGGTACTTTTTGATGGAGATTCTATTACAAAAGGCAATCAAAAAGCTCTCATTGTAAGGAGACTTTCATGCTATTGAAGATAGTACTAAAGAGAAAGTACTGCATAAAACACTGACAATAAAAATGCCTAAAATACCAATTCAGTGCAAAAAACGTGAGAAAACAAACCTTATGTCCGTAAAATTTGTAAAGTTTGTAAAGCTATAGTAAAGTTTCTAGAAGCACACGATTGTAAAAGTTTACTATTTCCGCTTTCACAGTATTAGTTACTCTATTATACTATAAAATTGCACGCAAAGACAAATAAATAGTAATTCTCAGTAATAAAAAACGAATTGTTGTTTAGACTCTGGAATGATTGTCTACCATACTATAGTGGGCAATAACAGATGTTACAGTAGATAAAAATAAATTTAAATATAATTCTTTTTTTAAAAAAAAAATTTTTTTTTAAACTTTTTTTTGGTTTTTCTGTTTTTCAAAAGTCATCTCCCCCCCCTCCCACAAAAAAATAAAAAGAAAAAACTCGCAATTCAAAAATATGCAAATGACAGCTAAATTTACTTCAAATTTAATTTCCACCGCCCGCATTTTAATTTATTCCAAAATATTGAAGACCTGTCAATTTATCACACAATTATAGTACACTTCCGTTTGCACGTCATATATACAATAAAACACATAGAATGTCATTACAAGAAACCCTGCAGCCATTGAGTGCGCAGAGTTTCTATAGCAACAAACATCCTATTATTAGCACTGGTTGCGCTTTGCATAACTAATTGCAGATTATAACAGAGAATGGAGATTAACTAAATTAGTTTCGAAACCATTTGAGATTTGTTAAAATTGTAAAAAATATTTTGGATTATATATAGTTATTAATAAAACATAGGTTGCCTTGCCTTTTCCTGCTTTTATTTAAAATTTTATTAAAAAACAAAGCTTCTAGTCAATTTTAATGTCTAAAATTACTTGAAATAACTTAAAAAAGACACTACGAATTATTATTATACTCTTCAACCGTCAAAACAATTAATATTCGTAACAGAGCAAACTCAGTCAAGCGCAATCACATTGCCAGTAAATAATGTAAAGATTCAATTTTGAATATGACACTAACAAACGTGCCTTACTCGGTTTGCATAACTTAATTTTAAAAAAACGGTTTTGAACTTTGTGAAACCAGTCGGTTCACAAGATAATTGAACCAGGTTTCTATTGAATCGTAGCTTTAAATCTAAGGTTTTAACCTTTATATATCTCCATAAAGGGATTGAGCACATACCTCGTGTAATTTTAGGTAACAAATTTTATTTTTTGTTAATTTTTTTAAAAGTGGTTTTTTGGGAAAAATTAGATTTTTTTCAGTGATATAGAGAAGGTTTCTAATTTTTCAAAGTTGATTTTTATTTATTGCATGGTTTAAACTGCTATAAATATCACAAACAAAAAAAGGTGTAAATATTTTTAAAATAATTTTGTTTACTTTAAAACTATAAACATGCAAACAAAAATTAGCGCAGTAAAAATCAAATCAACAAAAGATTTTTAAAAATTAAAAAAATATATTTTGGTAAGCATTCACACTATGTGACACTGAAATAAATGTAAAATACGCAGTTTGTATAAATGCTTTCTTAAATGCAAATTAACAATAAACCAAAATTATAAAAAAAATAATGACAACGTCATTAACAAAGAATTCGAAATTGCGGAAAAGTATAGTACAGTTGTGCAAATACTATAAACTGAAAGGTTGAGAGACAATTGTTGTCTATCACTCTTTGAACTCGTTGTATATTAGTTAAAGTTGCATGTATATATTGTCGTTGTTGTTTCTTTTTTACTATGTATTTTGTACAAACGGTGCTGGTTTCTCTATTCAACTTGCAAAGCATAAAAGTAGGGCGTTTTCTCATTTTCTCAAGACGGAGTAGGGTAGAACAAAGTAAAAAAAATTACAACAATGAGAACAAGACAGAGATTGGCAGTGCTTGTAGGGCAAGACAGTATCTTTTTAACTTTATTTAATTATCATACTTACAAGGAAAGTGCCCGACCTGCCCCGCTCTGATTGACTTCAAACTTTTTATATAGAAAGATCATGTAAATATAAGATCTTCAGCAAAGTACTAAATCGCGCTTTCCAGGAAATCTCGAGAAAATCGAGATTGAAAAATGATATTTTGAATTTCCCGCCAACTTGGAATTGTGTTTCAAGCTTGTAACTTTGTCATTTTTTGACTTTTAGTTATTTTTCTTTGATATACTAGTAGAATACCTTTGAATGGACCTACATTTTTAAATTAGTACGCGTATCTTGTCTGGAAAGCCGAAAAAACTGCTTGAAACACAATGCCAAATTTGCCAAATTGGCGGGAAACACAAACAATTTAAAGTTAAAACTCAAGAGCGCAAGCTAAAATTTTTTTTGAGTACTATTGGTGGTACAAAGAATTCATATAAAAATTTTGAGCTGATTCTGAGCGGGGCAGGTAGGGTACTTTCCTTGTTAAATTGAAAAAAAATTGTGTTTAAAACTTTTTAAAATCCGTCACTTTAGCCAACAAAACCAAAACCATTCTCCACGATGTTTACGGTGAAAACCTAATAAACCGTCAAGATGTAGAATACCGTGGTATCATGACACTAGGTACTCCGCCTCAAAAGTTTAACGTTGTGTTTGATACTGGGTCGGATATCTTATGGGTACCAGAAAAAGGCTGCCAATCACAAGGACCATTAGTTCAGAATTGTAAAAGTAATCAGAATGTCTATGATCCGAAAGCTTCCAGTACTTCTGAAGCTACAAATCGAGAATTCGAAATTGAGTATGGTACAGGGTCAGCTGAGGGAAAGTACATTAAAGATGTTTTTGCTGTGAGTTTTTACATTTTAAAAAAATTTTTTAGGCTGTTTATGCTACTGATGCAACTTCTGCGTTTGCAGGCTACAGTAGACATTTTATACGATGAAACATGTTTTTTTATGGATTTTATCTTTAAGCAAATTAGTCTGTTCAAATAATCTTGTGCTTCCTCACAAAGCACATTTTTAGGCTTAGGAGCACAGAATTATGTAAACAACCTAAACTAATAAATATAGGTATTATATACTTACAGTTTGGCGACCCATCAGGCCAACAACTAAAGCTAAAAGAAAAGGTACTATTTGGATCAGGTACCCGTCTAACCTTCTCAGACGAAGGCATTCTAGGCCTAGCCTATCCGTTGCGAGGTCAAGAAGAAAATTCCGTATTTTATCAAGCCTTCAAAGAAGGACTGATGGATTCGCCAGTATTTACTACCTATATGAAGAAGTGTAATGCTCAAGTCTGTAACGATGGGGGTGTTATTACATTTGGCAGTGAGGACACAAAACATTGCGATGCTGTGAGAGGATGGGTTGATATTAGAGAAGGCATTAGTCATTGGATGTTTCAGCTGGATGGGTATCAAGGTGAGTTATTTTGTAGTAGGAATTAAAAAAAATATTTTTTTTTAATTTTAAATTTAAAAATGTTTTTTGTTTTTGAAGTTTTGAAATTTGCTACTTAAAAACTTAATATCTCAAATTTTCAGCCAACGATCTCTACCAATTCAAAGTCCAATACGCGATAACAGACACTGGTACCTCAGTGATCGTAGTACCAGAAGCACTAATGGACCCAATAGCTGAAGCCATTGGGGCAACGTGGTTTGATGGTACCTATATGGTAGCTTGTTCCAAGAAATTCAAATTTGGGTTAAAATTGGCTGGAAAAACGTATTTTATCGATTCAGATCAGCTACTTTTGCAAACTGGCGGAGGATTCTGCCAACTTGCCATCACTGCTGGCGACTTTGGCTTCTGGATTCTGGGTGATCCGTTCATCAGGCAGTTCTGTCAAGTACACGATGTTGGTAATAGAAGGGTCGGTTTTGCTCCGGCTAAAATGTAAAATACGAAAGTTGAATAACGTTAATAATTTGATAACAGTTTTTTATAATACAAATTTAACTTTGGTATATTTTAGACAGTTTTTTATATTAATTTACGTAAAAAAACCTTTAAATTCAGTGTTAAAATCACAAATTCGTCTTTTTGTGGTACCCAATCGTATATTCATCATGTGTAATATAGCAAGGAAATATTTACATTACTGTAACTCGACGAGTATAATAGCTACTTTAGCACCCGATACAGATTCTAAAAGCCCATGAAAAATGACATCTTATGTTAATTTTGCCACAATTACTTATAAAGAATTTTGTTGTGGTACCCGATCGTATATTCATCATGTGTAATATAGCAAGAAAATATTTACATTACCGTAACACCACGAGTATTACAGTTACAGTAACAGTCAATACAGATTCTGAAAGACCATTAAGAATGACATCTTGAGTTGTTTTTGCCACAATAACAAAATGTCTGTTATTTAAGCCTTAAATTAGCATAATAAACTCCATTTTTGATAGGCTTTCAGAATCTCTATCGACTATCTCTGTAGCTCAGTTATTATATCTAGTGTAATATGGTACTAGTATACTTTGTTACACTGTAGCTTGACGAATAACGCAGCTACAGAGACAGTCGATACAGATTCTAAAAGCTCATCAAAAATGGAGTTTAAATTGTTAATTTAGGGCTTAAATAACAGACATTTTTTTTGTGGTTATCGATTGTATATATATCTAGTGTAATACGGTACTCGTATACTTCGTTCACTGTAACTTGACGGATAACTGAGCTACAGAGACAGTCGATGCAGATTTTTAAAGCCCATCAAAAATGGAGTTTATTATGTTAATTTAAGGCTTAAATAACAGATATTTTTTTTGTGGTTATCGATCGTATATATATCTAGTGTAATATGGTATTCGTATACTTTGTTCACTGTAATTTGACGGATAACTGAGCTACAGAGACAGCCGTTACAGATTCTGAAAGCCCATCAAAAATGGAGTTTAAATAGTTAATTTAAGGCTTAAATAACAGACATTTTTTTTGTGGTTATCGATCGTATATATATCTAGTGTATGAAAAATGACATCTTATGTTGGTTTTGCCACAATAACTTATAAAGAATTTTGTTGTGGTACCCGATCGTATATTCATCATGTGTAATATACAGTGGCGCTCAAAAAAAACGGCCACCCCCCACGTTTGGTCGATAAGTAAAAGTTTTAGTAATAATATTGCATATATTGTATTCCCTTATAGTTATACAATAATTTTAATTTATTTTGTGCAAAAAAATTGCATTAGTTGCAAGTTGCAACTCAAGGTGTCCAAAAAAAATGGCCATGTGTACGATAAAAAACGTTTCTCTACGTTTACTTGTAGATTCTGAATGTTTTCTATATATTTATATTAGTTTAGTATTTTTAAAAGTATAATAGTTAAGCATCGGCCTATTCAGTTGACGATAAAGGCATAGGATGATGTTAAACATGTTATACCTTAAGTGTAGTAAACAACCTCTAGAACACAATTTTTTGTCAAATTATTCAGACGTTAAATGCACAGAAAATTATTGAGGGGAGAAAAAAGATGTAGAAGATCACAAAAAACTACCGTTAGAGGCAATACGCAAGTATAATATGGTTGAAGAACGATCCGTCGACTACTACAATATTGATCAAAGAAGAAGTTGAGGCTGAATCGGACTAACGGATTAACAAACAACCAATTGAAGGTAGATGTGTTGAAAGGAGACTTTTGAGTTGTATATAAAGCAAAAGGTCGGTAATTATAGTTAAAAACAAAAAAGTTTAGTTTGGATTTCTACGAGTTCTACTGTTTTAGATAAGGAATAAGCAGGGAAAGTGATTGTACCAAGTGAAATCAAATTTTATGCGGAAGTATCAAATAGTAAAAGATACTTTAGAAAACGCTTTATTAAAGAAGACAACCTACAAGTTTGTCGCTCAACTGTGAAGCGCTGTGGAAGCATTATGGTTTGAGGTGCTTTGCCTATAACAATATCGGTGTGTTGCATCAAACTGAAAAAATTAGAGGTGACTCCAAATGTCGTGAAACTTTACAAAACGTTGCTGTAGCTTATTGCTGATCGTTCAAATGTAAAAATGGCGTATTTCAAAGCGACTACAATTTTCAGCACACTTCCGAACTTGTCAGACCGGTCATATTGAAGGAGAAGATCCTTGAACTTAAGTGGCCAAGTCAATTTGCAAGCCAAACTCGATATAAATGTATTGTAAATGACTGTAAACAAAGTTAAAAAACGATTCCAGTATGTGAAAATGAACTTATGTCAAATCTGACAGGTAAATGATCAAACTTACCCATTATTATAGTAAATTAACCAAGCACCTAGGTACCCACAATAAGGGTTGGTACGTCGTTCTAAGTAATGTTCAACCAAGTACTAAATGCTATTTAGCATTTAAAAACTGTTTTTATCTTATTAACTTACATAGTTGATACGAAAATAGGATGCTACTACACATGGCCATTTTTTTTGGACACCTTGAGTTGCAAATTCGCGTTGCCAAAAGTTGCGACTTGCAACTAAAGCACTTTTTTTCGCATGAAATAAATTAAAATTATTGTTTAACTATAAGAGAATACAATATATGCAATATTATTACCAAAATTTTTACTTATCGATCAAAGGTGGGGGGTGGCCGTTTTTTTTTGAGCGCCACTGTAGCTAGGAAATATTTACATTACTGTAACTCGACGAGTAATACAGTGACAGTACCAGTCGTTACAAATTCTGAAAGCCCATCGAAAATGACATCTTATGTTGGTTTTGCCACAAAAACTTATAACTTGCAAAATAATTAAATTTTAAATTTTAGTTTTATTTTGAAATGCAATGTCAATTAACAAGTTGTTCAACCCAAACTTTAACTGAATTTGACACATTTCAATCTATTTTTAGATTATTCAATTTAGCTAATCTGCCGACAATTGCGCGAGTTTATGCAAATTAAATCAAAGCTTTTCAAGAATTTTAATCGAATTTTCGTCTTTTGTTCGAAACGAAGCGGAGGAAACAAGCCTAGCTTTCTATTTTTGAGAGTTTTAAGAATTTGTTGGAGTCTTAAACTTATATTTTAAAATTTTTTGAAAAATTTTTTAATTTGTATTTTTAATTTGATATTTAAAAGTAAATTGTCTTCATTGGTTTCGATTTGTTTTCAAATGTTGTGGCTGTAATTATGAACAAATTCTCTTTGGTTTGTATATAAGTCTAAAAGTGTGGGTATGAATGAAGGTATAAACATAAATTGTCATTAATATCTACGTAAAACTTTCTATTTTGAGTGCTTTACATCTTGCTTCTTTTGATGTTGTGTTTTACTATAGGGTAGGGTAGGTCTATAAGTAAAGGACTTGCGTTTTTTAACGATTTTAAAGATAACTTGCTACTTATACATATTTTAATCGTATGTTGCATCTCAGACATTGACTCACATTAAAGATTACAACATTCTTACATCTATGTATGTTGTAATGTATGACATTTTGCACAGATTATGTTGTTACTCATAGATCATTTTAAATTTTGGTTTTGTTAAATTAAAAAGTTAAGGTTTATATAAAAATTAGCATTTAAAAAATTATGTCAATTAACATATTTTACTCCGTGTATTAACAATGTAAACACATGTGTAACATCTATTTTTTTACCATGCCTTTGTGACGTTTTTTGTTAAGTCTTCAAATATAGACCTCAATTTATGTTTCTTATGCGTTTTTTTTTCTCTCTTTTTTACGTCTGGATTAATTTGCAGCCAGTCCAGGCCGTTCTTTCTTCTTTTACCGGATATACGTCATAACAATTGTAGATGACATTTAAGTCAATTTATGCTATTTATAAGTATCCTACCCTACTCTACCCTACCCTACCCTACCCTACCCTACCCTACCCTACCCTACCCGACCTTTGCTATCGAAGGGTTAGATAAAGAAGTGTGACTGTATCTTTTCCCGTTATTTACAATATTTTGAAGAAGATACGATTACAAACGGACGAGATACGATGATATACGCGGAACTGATTGATATTCTTCCAAGAGCTCTTAAGGCCTTTATTTTCGAATTCTTTGACCAAAAAGCAAACAAAAATAAAAAAACAGTAAAATTCGAGCGCAGTGACCAGCCGACGAATTTATTGCGCTCAATGCTATCATTGTCAACATACCACGACGTGTTGCGGTTTTTATAAAAAATTTTTTAATGTTTTGTTTAGCTTTGTCTTGTCACATTCTTCATCAAAACTTATATTTTTTGCAAAAATTTTTAAAAATAACTTGTCATAGAACAAAATTACAGTAATACGCCAAATTTCTAAATTTCAAAATAATGTAATTTGAAAGATGGCTTAACTTTTGAATAGAATAATAGTAACATGACAACGACGGCTTAACAAACAAATTTAGCCACATTATGACTAAGTTTCCAGATTATTCCCTAATTCTTCTTTTGGGTGTGGTAATAGTCACAAGTAGCTGAAAATGTCAATAGAAGGCTTTAAATACATGCTTTTATTATTTTTTCAAAAAAAATGTTTTAAAGATTTTTTTTAATTTCGATTTTTAATTTTAATTTTTAATTTTACAATAATTGCGAAAAAAAAGTTTTGTCGTTTTTCAACGTGTGAATATATATGAATTGACGACAAGACTTTTTTTCATGCTTTAGTGAAGGTCAATTTTAGCTTCATTTGTCATATTTAACTATTTAATTTAAAATGCCAGAAACTTCGACGAATTAAACGTCTTTTACCCACCCACTCCACTCAAAACCATGGTTAATATTGGATATCGCCCTTTCCGAACCGTGTTTTTCATTTATTTTGGCGAGAATAAAAAGGAATATTCAAATAAGTGGCCGATCCTTCCATTTCGAGTTTGAGGTCAAGAGAAATGACCCGAGGGGTTTAAACATATCTAGTAAAGTGAAAGGTTTATGACTTTTTGAAAT